TAGCCGATCGTACTAGAGTGAGTGATGCCAATGCTTACCTGCGTGCTGTGGCTGCAGCTTGCAAAACATGTCACGAACGCGGAGTCCTTTTCAGTATCTGCAACCCAGAGTCAAGTTTTATGTGGGCTACCAAGCCTTTGCGACTTTTGCTTCAGGAAGTTCCTCTCTTCACAACGCACTTTCACCTTTGCAGCTTCGAATCGCCCTTCAAGAAGGCCATGCGGATGCTGCACTCACTACCAAAATTCTTGGAGTTGCATCGTCCATGCGCCGGTGGACATGTACATAAGTTTTGGTCTAAGGGTGTGGGCTGCAAGTTCGACCGTGATTTGGATTTTCCTTGGGGTTTGTGCAAGGCAATGTCACAGCTTCTGCAAGATCAACTACTTGACATGGGGGCCAAGCCTCTGCCTAATGACTTAAGTCAGACAACAGCCACAGTTGCAGCGGCCAGAGCTGTTGCTGGGTGGCAGAGCAACAAGCGTGTCCTTCCTCTGGTTCCGGAGTTCAAGCATGTTGTGAATGTTCGTGGCAGCTTCCCTGCTGCGTCTATGCAAGGTCTTCAAGTAGGCTGCAAACTCCCTGCATCGTGGGAGGTACCTGCATCTGCAAATGTTGACCCGTGCTTTGTGTCGTCGGTGCCACAAGGTTCCAAAATCCTTCGCATCCTCACGGTGCCGGGGGAAATGTCAGAGGATGCTCCGGACAACTTGAGTGCAGCTCAGGCTGGCCGCGTATTGCCGAGCCTTTCTGCTCCGCCCGAAGATGCTCACCCAGCTGAGAAGCTTGCTTGCATCATGTTGCAGTGGAACACTCGCTTCAGCCAAGAGGAGATGCGAACTCTTCTGGACATGTTGCCGCAAAAACATCAGACCAGAGCCAGGGGGAGCTGTGACGAACAGTCCAATCAGTTTCTGTGTGGAGCCTATGCTCATGGGCCCATGACGGGCTGCAAGAACTTGACACGAGATATGCCTTGGTGCACTGCCGTGCTTTGCAAGCATGTTCGTGATAACGCTCCGGGTTTTTGCTTCTCTGCCGTGGGCTACCTGTGCAATGTGCGCGCAGAGGCCCATCGAGATTTGCATAATGAGCCAGGGACAAAAAACCTGGTCATGGCAACGCATGATTGTGCTGGCGGTGGACTGTGGCTTGAGGAGGCAGGTGGGCCTGTTGCGATGGTCGTCGATAAAACTCAGCGTGCTGGGAGGTTTCATGACTTGGCAGTTGGAAGGCCTTTTATCTTCGAACCGAAGCGTTGGCATGCTACTCAACCGTGGCGAGGTGACAGAGGAGTGATCGTTGCATACACCCCAGTGGGAGTGACCAAACTTGCAACTGCCGACAAAGGGTTCTTAGAAAATTTGGGTTTTCCCTTAGGCACCTCTTCTGGTTCTAGTGATGTGCCTCCCAGGGTTGCAAAAGTACAAAAAGGAAGTATCGTTTTCGGCGTGTACCATGAACCGGAGGAGTTTGTGGCGAGAGCGTTGAGCGTGCAACATCCTTGTCACTTGGAAAGCCTTTTGCCATCAGAGCTTGTTGAGGCCATACGGGCAAATCACTCCAAAGATGTCGCTACGCTTGGGCGCGAGCGCACCGAGATGCTCAAGAAATGGCTTGCTCGCGCTGAGGAGCTGGAAACTGCCGAAAAACAGCTCAAGGGATCTTTCAGCTCCCATCGACGTCAAGTGTTGTGCAACAAGCGGCTGCTCTTGATGAAAGAGATGCTTGACAGTGTGGGACACGAGGACGAGGACTTGATTTCTGATCTGTCAAACGGTTTCGACTTGACCGGACCCTTGCCCCGATCTAATGCCTTTAAGAATAAGTACCGCCCGGCAGCCATGGCCGAGGAAACGCTTAGGAAAAGTGCGGGATTAGTTAGGGGTCAGGTTTTGGCTTCGGTTAAAAGTTCAGGGGACGAGATCGTGGATCGAGGTGTACTGGCAGCCACCGAGAAAGAGTTGTCCAAAGGCTTCATCGAGGGGCCGGTGTGTGCTAGTGACATCCCTGCTGATGGGACGGTCACGCATCGCTTCGGAGTGATCCAAGGAGAAACCGAGGAGGGTCCCAAAGTGAGACCGATCGACAACTACTTGAGTTCGCTGGTAAATTCGGTTGTGTCCCAAAGTGAACAAGTGCCCGTCCACACGTTGGACGTAGTTGCTGGCATGTTGGCGATGTGGTTGCACTTGTCTCCTTTGAAGTCCTTGCGTGAGGGACTTGTGTGCAAATGTTGGGACCTCAGTGCCGCATACAAGCAACTACCGCTTAGTGACAAAAGTTTCGAAAAGGATAGCTTCTTCGTGATTTACTGCCCCCGCACTCGCCAGCATGTCATCTACAAGCAGCGGGTCATGCCCTTCGGGGCGAAAGCCTCAGTGACTGCCTTCATCCGTTGTGCATTCGGAATTTGGCGGCTGGGGGTAAAAATGTTTGCCTTGGTCTGGAGTTTTTATTTTGACGATTTTCTATCGGCTTGCAAGCCTGAGGAGCGTCGACACGTGGAGGTCGTCATCAGCACGCTTTTCAGGATTCTAGGTTGGGATCTTTCGCTAGATAAACTTCTGCCCTATGACGTGTGCTGTAAAGTCCTTGGAATCAAGATCGACATGGCGGAGGCTCGCCTGGGACTCTTCAAGCTGGCGAACACTGAAAAACGTGTGATGGAGTTAACCGCTGCCTTGGACGAAGTCTTGTTAGCCGAGAGGTTGTCGCATTCCGACTGCGAGAAACTTCGGGGTAGGCTGCAGTTTGCTTCCGGCCAGTTGTTCGGTCGAAGGGCGAAGGTTGCTCTGCACCAGCTTAGCCGGCATCATGGAGGTCGGTTGAGCGAGGCCACTTCTAAGGCGTGTCGCTTCTTGAGGCGTTTGGTTTCGTCAAACCAGAGCCGCTTGATTAGTCGACAACTTGGCAATGTCGTGCATGTGTATGTGGACGCATCCTTCAGCGATGAGGGCAAGCTTTGTGGCATCGGGGGCATGGCTTATGACCATAAAGGCTCTTTGCTCCAATGGTTCGGTGAAAACCTTGATGCTTCGCTTGTTTCCCAAGTCATGACGTCTTTTGAGCGTGTCAAAGAGACCGTCATTTTTGAGCTGGAGGCTTTGGCGGTACATGTTGCGCTGAAGTGTTTCTTCAAAGCTCTTAAGGGCAAGAATGTGGTTGTGTTCACCGACAACGAAGGTGTTCACGGCGCCTTCGTGAAGTGCTGGACTGTGAGTCAGTTTGCAACGCATGTCATCGATGCGGTATGTGAGATCGAAGAAAGCCTTGGCTTTATGATCTGGTACGATCGAGTTCCATCTGCAAGTAATCCTTCGGATCCGCTTTCAAGAGGAGTGTGGAATCTGCCGACACCTGTGCGTGTTAGGCCTGCGGCTAAGTTCTTCGAGGACCTTCTTGAAAAGTCGAAGTCACGACTGAAGTGATTTGCACAAGTGGTGCGGCGGCAAGTAGTGTGGGCGCTCTCAGTGCCAAGGACTGGGGCAGGGCAAGGCACTGCGATGCCCCAATCACGATAAAAAGGTGAGCCGCTGCGTGAGCCGAATTTTTATTAGTTGTGAAGTATATATTCGGATGAAGAATGACATATCCCGAATTTTTATATGTATATTCTTTTGTATATATTGAATGTGGAACGCCCGGTTGACACATAAAGGGAAACTAAGACGCAACTCCGCGAACAGCGGATGAAGCTTTATTTTCCCCTGTGTCAAAAATTTTGGTTTGTCAAACAAACTCAAAATTTAGGGCGTGATCTTTTGTTGAAGTTCTCTTAACCCATGACATGACAGTTCATGTTTGAGGAATCTCCATGAATCTTTACCATGCCGTCAGTTGGCTCCACAGGGTGGTGGGAGAGTAAGAAAAAATTTCCGGCATAAGTCCGGAAAAAAGTTTTGTCCCACCCAGCCCGCCCTGGTTGTTTCCTGCACAAGTTGTGCTGCGAAGTTCGCTATGGTGCAAGTGGCATCTTTCTTTTCACAATACCCATTGTACAAATGAAACTTGGCGATGTTGTTGAACTGAACAAAGAGCAAGCGCGCTGGGGCAGGGCAAGGCACTGCGATGCCCCAATCACGATAAAAAGGTGAGCCGCTGCGTGAGCCGAATTTTTATTAGTTGTGAAGTATATATTCGGATGAAGAATGACATATCCCGAATTTTTATATGTATATTCTTTTGTATATATTGAATGTGGAACGCCCGGTTGACACATAAAGGGAAAATAATGGTCGTGTTCGTATCGGCCAGTTGCCCCTGTATGCAGCCCCTCTAAAGAGGAGGCCGGACCAGAGCAGAACCAAAGACCCGTTGAGATTGATGAGGCCTGGCCGGTTACTGTGTCTTGGGACATGTATGTTCCGCAGGAGCCCATGAGCGATGCCGCAAACGCCAGCAACTGCAGTTTGAGGGTGCTTAAGGTTGTAGAAAGTGGTTCGCGGAGCTAGTTAGAGGAGGAGGGTTTCGTAAGCGAAGGTAGACCCGTAATCCCCTACCGCCTGTGCAAAGCCGAACCGACGTTCACGAAGAACATAGAACACCTTCTAAGCAATCTAAGCTCACCTCTGCAAATCGTTCACACTGTAGACCCCGCAGAAGTCGCACTCAATCCAATCCCTTGGATTCCGTCCATTGAGAAAGAAGTAAAGGCCATTGAGCATGCGGTGCTCAGACTGCGCCCTTCAGACACCAGGCAGGCCGAGTACTTGAGTGATCCTCGACTGCAGGTGGTACCTTCCAAGTTTGTGTTCACAGTGAAACCGCCCGACCAAGGGGCAGCAGCTGTTGGTGACACTGGAAAGCTTGCGCTCACTAAGCCCGACAACAGTACAGAGGCCCTTCAGGGCGCTCCAAAGGCTTCGTCGCAAGGCCAAAGTTTGTACCGTCGGAAAGCGAGACTTGTTGCTTGCGGAAATGTGGCGCCAAATACAGGCTTGGATGTGTATGCTGGAGGTGCTCAGGCTGAGAGCTTGAGAACAGTGATTGCCCTGGCAAGCTTCTTTGGTTGGTTGTTGGGAGTGTTGGATATCACCAGCGCGTTCCTCAAAACGCCTATTCCTTGTCTTGAAGGTTTCCCCATCTTTGCGTTGACCCCGCCCTGCTTGTTGGTCAAGCTTGGTCTTGCAGTTGCACATGAGCTGTGGATACTATCCCACGCGGTTTACGGCCTTCGAGAGGCCCCGCGCTTGTGGGGACAGTATCGAGATGCTTGTTTGGCAGCGTTGGTGTGGGACCTTGACGGCGTGACCTACCGGCTTGAGCCTTCGACCCTAGACCCGAACTGGTGGAAAGTCGTCAGGGTTGAAGGTGGTCGCGTTGAGGGCGCATTGTTGGTGTACGTTGATGACTTCTTGTTGTGTGGGTCGCTAGGTGTCCTTCAAAGTTTGGCAAAGGCTCTGCAAGAAAAGTGGGCCACAACACCGTTTGTGGTAGCTACCCCAGAGCAGCCGATCAAGTTCCTTGGCGTGGACATCATTGTCATTCCTCGTGGGTTTGTTCTCTCACAGCAGTCGTACGCAGAAGAAGTCTTGCGGCTTCATGAGGTACCTTGCCACGTGAGGGGTAGAATCCCTTGTCCTCGGGAGCTAGCGTCGTTTGAAGTTGGCGAAGGAGACTCCAGCCCCCCTGACGGGGAGGCCGTTCACCGCGCGCAACAGGTGACTGGTGACTGCTGTGGTTGTCTCAACGTACTCGCCCGGACCTGGCGTTCACTGCCAGCTTGCTTGCTAGTTTGTCTACGAAGGCGCCTTGTCGTGCTCTACGCATTGCTGACCGTGCCTTGGCTTACTTGCAGCGAACCAAGACAGCGTCGCTGGTGTTTGAGGCGGACGGAACCCAACTTCACGGTTGGAGTGACGCAAGCTTCTCGCCAGAAGGCCTTCGCTCACATGGAGGCTGGTGCGTGTGTGTGCATGGATGTCCAGTTGCTTGGAGGTCGGCGCGTCAAGCTTTTGTGACACTTTCTACTGCTGAAAGTGAACTCACTGCTTCGATTGAGTGTGCAATCGCGCTTGAATCAATTGAGGCGTTGCTTCACACGGTTGGTTTTGACGTTGCGGAAGAAAGGGTTTTGCACGTTGATTTCCAAGCGTCACTTGCGATTTCTGACGGTCATGGATCATGGAGAACGCGACACCTACGGGTAAGAGCTGAGTACCTTCGTGAGCAGACTCGCTCTGGGAAGCTGAGGCTTGCCTTCTGCCCGGGTGTGGAACAGCTTGCAGATCTACTGACCAAACCTCTTCCGTCTGCAAGGATTGAAGAGCTTGTCAGGTTATGGGGCATGCGTGACTTTGCGGGTGATACAGCCGACCGAGAGGTCAGGCCGAGCTCGTCAGCAGCTGTCGACCCAGTCGCGTTGAGTGCCTTGTTGTGTTTGCTTCAAATCCAACCTGCACGAAGCTCAAGCCGTGAATCCGAGTATCCTGGCTTGCAGCTTGATGGATCCCTGGAGCTGTACTTCGTTCTTGGCATGGCATTGGTTTGTGTCCTTGTTGTGTGGGAGTGGTTGAAGAGATTGTGGGATCGGCTTGATGCGTGGTGGGCTGGTTCGCATGCGTCGTCTCGTCGAGCCCGTCGTTTGAGGCGTATGCAGAGAGCTGTTGAGGATGAGCTTGCTGCCCAACTGCAGGGCATGAGTCTTGAGGACGTGTCTTCCAGACCACCAGCAGGTGAGTCCACAGCTCACAACGAGAGGGCACCTGTGCCTTCGCAGTCCTCCCACGAGTTGCCTGCTGCACCACGGCCCAAGGCCACACAGTCTCGTCGCCGCCCTGCAGTGCGTGAGCAGTCTACTCAAACGGATCGTGAGCCTGCTTTCCAACCAGTCACAGGAGTCCCACCAGATCCGATGCCTGCCAGGATCGAAATCCGCACGCAGTATGAACTTCCCCAAGGTCCCTTTTACTTCACTGCGCACGGGGATTGTGTTCATCTAGATTCTAATTGTTGGGGTTTAAGGCGTAATACACCCTTAACTACCCGCAACTTGTGCCGTGTTTGCAGAGACCGCCACCGCACAGGTCTCTAAAGGCAAGCCAAGGTTCAAGGCTAGAGGTCCCAGGAACGGGCATGCTGTAAATAGTGCAGCGTGTGCTAGTTGCCTGTCGGCTCTAGCAAGGAGGAGTGTTGAAATGCTTCTCACTGCATGCCCAGGTATCAGGTTAGACAGGTGTGTAGTCTGCTTGAAGGGATTGCCGGCACTTGTATAGTTTCCTTCAGGTAGGCTTGTACATGTGTGTTTCCTGTATCCTTTGGCTTAGGGGAAGGCTGCGTAGGAAAGCCTCTTGAGCCATGTGTACTGTAACCAACAACTTGTAAAGCTGTACAGGTCGTTTGTTGGTTTGTCGGTTCTCTTGTTGCTTCGTTGAGATCGTGAGTCGCCTCTGCGCCCAGCCATAGAAAACATTCTGCGTGAGCTTCGCTGCAGGGTATGGCCACCCAGGGTGAACACCTTCAACAGGTCAGGTTTTGGCTTCGGTTAAAAGTTCTGGGGACGAGATCGTGGATCAAGGCGTGCTGGCAGCCACGGAGAAGGAGTTGGCCAAAGGCTTCATTGAGGGGCCGGTGAGTGCTAGCGACATCCCTAATGATGGGACGGTCACGCATCGCGTTGGAGTGATTCAAGGAGAGACCGAGGAAGGTCCCAAAGTTAGACCAATCGATAATTACTTGAGTTCGCTTGTAAATTCGGTTGTATCCCAAAGTGAACAAGTGCTCGTTCACACGTTGGACGTAGTTGCTGGCATGTTGGCGATGTGGTTGCACTTGTCTCCTTTGAAGTCCTTGCGTACGGGACTGGTGTGCAAATGTTGGGACCTCAGTGCCGCGTACAAGCAACTGCCGCTCAGTGACAAAAGTTTCGAAAAGGATAGCTTTTTCGTAATCTTCTGCCCCCGCACACGCAAGCACGTCATCTACAAGCAGCGGGTCATGCCCTTCGGGGCAAAAGCCTCAGTGACCGCCTTTATCCGTTGTGCATTCGGGATTTGGCGGTTGGGGGTAAAAATGTTTGCCTTGGTCTGGAGTTTTTATTTTGACGATTTCCTATCGGCCTGCAAGCCTGAGGAGCGCCGACACGTGGAAGTCGTTATCAGCACTCTGTTTCGGCTACTAGGTTGGGATCTTTCACTAGATAAACTTTTGCCTTACGACGTGTGCTGTAAAGTTCTTGGAATCAAGATTGACATGGCTGAAGCTCGCCTGGGGCTCTTCAAGTTGGCGAACACCGAAAAGCGTGTGCTGGAGTTGACTGCTGCCTTGGACGAGGTATTGTTGGCTGGCAGGTTGTCGCATTCTGACTGCGAGAGACTTCGAGGTAGGCTGCAGTTTGCTTCTGGCCAGTTGTTCGGTCGAAGAGCGAAGGTTGCTCTGCGCCAGCTTAGCCGGCATCATGGAGGTCGGTTGAGCGAGGTCACTTCCGAGGCGTGTCGCTTCTTGAGGCGTTTGGTTTCGTCAAACCAAAGCCGCTCGATTAGTCGGCAACTGGGCAATGTCGTGCATGTGTATGTGGATGCATCCTTCAGCGATGAGGGCAAGCTTTGTGGCATCGGGGGCATGGCCTATGACCATAAAGGCTCCTTGCTCCAATGGTTCGGTGAAAACCTTGATGCGTCGCTTGTTTCCCAAGTCATGACGTCCTTTGAGCGTGTCAAAGAGACTGTCATCTTTGAGCTGGAGGCTTTGGCGGTATATGTTGCGCTGAAGTTTTTCTTCAAAGCTCTTAAGGGCAAGAATGTGGTTGTGTTCACTGACAGCGAAGGTGTTCACGGCGCCTTCGTGAAGTGCTGGACAGTGAGTCAGTTTGCATCGCATGTCATCGATGCGGTATGTGAGATTGAGGAAAGCCTTGGCTTTATGATTTGGTACGATCGAGTTCCCTCTGTAAGTAATCCTTCGGATCCGCTTTCGAGAGGAGTGTGGAACCTGCCGGCACCCGTGCGTGTTAGGCCTGCGGCAAAGTTCTTTGAAAGCTTTCTTGAGGAGTCGAAGTCACGACTGAAGTGATGTGCGCAAGTGGTGCGGCGGCAAGTAGTTTGGGCGCTCTTAGTGACAAAGACAGGGGCAGGGCAAGGCACTGCGATGCCCCAATCACGAGAAAAAGCGAGCCGCTAGTGTGAGCCGAATTTTTATTAGTTGTGAAGTATATATTCGGATGAAGAGTGACATATCCTGAATTTTTATATGTATACTCTTTTGTATATATGGAATATGAACGCCCGGTTGACACTTAAAGGGAAAATAAGACGCAACTCCGCGAATAGCGGATGAAGCTTTATTTTCCCATGTGTCAAAAATTTTGGTTTGTCAAACAAACTCAAAATTTAGGGCGTGAGTTTTTATCAAAGTTTTCTTAGCATGAAACATGACAGTTCATGTTGAGCGGATCTCAATGAGTCTTTGTTATGCCGTCAGTTGGCTCCACAGGGTGGTGGGAGGGTAAGAAAAAGTTTCCGGCGTAAGTCCGGGAAAAAGTTTTGTCCCACCCAGCCCGCCCTGTTGTTATAAGCACAAGTTGTGCTGCGAAGTTTCGCAATGATGCAAGTGGCATCCTTATATTTTCTGTACAAATCCGTGTGCTATGTTGTCGAGACTGAACAAAGAGCAAGCGCCCTGGGCCCGAGCCCAGGGCAAGGCACTGCGATGCCCCAATCACGAGAAAAAGCGAGCCGCTAGTGTGAGCCGAATTTTTATTAGTTGTGAAGTATATATTCGGATGAAGAGTGACATATCCTGATTTTTTTTTATATGTATACTCTTTTGTATATATGGAATATGAACGCCCGGTTGACACATAAAGGGAAATAAGCAGACAATTCCTGCCCGAGCCTTGAATGATTTTCCGACGGCACAACAGGATGGCGGCGGCATCTACAGCTGCCCAGACTGGACTTCCCCGCCGACTGGGATGCAGGATATCTTTCGGTCTTTGCGTTCTGACCTCATGCAGTTCTTCTTGCAACACCGCATGTTCGACAGGCTTCGCAAACACGCTGCGGAGCAGTGCCATGAACCCCTGTTCAACCCACAGGAAGTGCTGTCGCTTCGAAAAATCTGGGAAGGCTGGTTTAGGGATAGGGGTTTCACGGATAAGGTTTCATGGGATGCGGCCCCCAATCAGCCTTATAGCTTGTGCGCTTTGCAGCTTTTGAGCCGCGTTCTTGAGGATCGGGATACGGCATTATGGCCGGCGTTGCAAGCTGGCGTGGCGACTGGGGTAGATGGGGATATTTCCTTGAGCAATTGTTTTTTGCCGACTCCAGCTGACTTTGATCCGAATTCTTTTGATGTCCAGATATGCTCCGGTAATTGGCCAGGGGCTAATGAGGAACCTGAGCTCTTGGCGGAACTTGTTCAGCAGGAAGTGGATGCGGGCTATTTGCTGGTTTTTGATTCTTTGGAGGAGGCCCAGAAGAAATGGTCACGCATTGCCATAGGCAAGGTCAATGTAATCAAAAGCCCTAACAGAAAGCCTCGCTTGATTGTCGATCCCTCCGTCTCAGGTGTAAACCCTAGTTGCCACATCCCGGAGCGATTTCTGCTACCAGGCTTGAGTGACATCAGAGCTTCTTACCCGATGCGGGGTGTGGTAGGTGAGGTTGAGGTATGTACATTGGACATTGCCGCGGCGCACAAAACGGTGCGGATCCGTGAGTCCGAACAAGGACTCCTTGGTTTTTCGGTCAATGGCCGATATTACTTCTACCGGGTCGCACCGTTTGGCGGCTCATTTAGTGCTCTTTGGTGGCAGCGCCTGTCAGGTTTTTACGTACGCACATGCCACCGCCTGATCTACATCAGCCACATTTTCTTGATGTACGTTGATGATGCATTGCTTCTTCAGCACAGGGAAGCCCTTCCTTTATCAGCCTCGTTGGTTTTAACCTTCTCACAATCTTTCGGGTACCCGATCTCATGGCGCAAACTGCAGTTAGGCCCCAAGATTGAGTACATAGGTTGGTTGATAAACTTCAGATCAGGCTCCTTGTCCCTGACTGATCACAAGGTGGCAAAGTTGCTCACGGCACTCACTCAACTCGCAGCATCTGATCCTTGCAACAAACGTGATCTTCAGGCAGTCATCGGCATGTTGCATTGGGTTTTGCAAATGGCGCCGAGCTTGCTTCCGTGGCTTTGCACTCTGTACCATGACTTAGCACGGCCCCTGGGTACGAACTTTAGCTTGAATGCTGCAACTTGGCAGCTTCTGCCTTCATATCTGGATGCGAAAATGATCTTCACGGCCACACCGCCGGGCACGAGCATCAAGGTGGGCAGTCGCTTGCTGAGTGTGCGTCATGTGGAGATGTTGGGCAAGCAGGATTTGGCCAAGGTCAGATGCACTGGCAAGCGCCTCTGGGCGAGAGTGGCCGATCCTTCATCCACCAAGCGCAAGCTGTCTTTGCAGAGTCGCACTTTTGTTGAGTTTTGGATGCAATGGTGTATCAGACCTCAAATGCCGCGAGCCTTGTCTTTCCCGCCGTTGGACTTCAGCTATGTGCTTGCAGCCGATGCATGCGCAAAGAAGGATGACATCGGCATTGGCGGTTGGGTTCAATTGCCGAATCAGCCAGCCGTTTGGTTTGTTGAGAAGTTCAAGGTTGCACAATTTAGGGCTTTGGGGTTGCCGGTTCAGGACGATGCGAACTTGGACATCACGTCTTATGAAACATTGGCTCAGCTGGCGCTTTTGATCTGCTTCGCATCCTTTACGGCGTCTGGCCGCATGCGGGTGAAGATCCCTTCGTGGTCGGATAACTCGGGCACTGAAAGTGTGGCGAATAAGCTATTCACGGTCAAGACTCCTCTGTGCTTCTTTGCGCAGAAACTTGCTACTGTTGCTTGGCGCACAGGCATCGTTCTGGATTGCTCGCGTATCGCAGGCTGTCACAACGATAAGGCTGACTGGTTGAGTCGTTGGTCAGGTGATGTGGCAGAGTTGCCTGCAACTTGGTCGTTGGATCATCGGGTCAAGTGTGACTTGCCGACTTTGTGGGAAGGCGAGCGTGATGTTCGTGTCTTTCCACCTGGTGCCACTTTCTTGTGGGAGCCGCCCAAGGCATCCGTAGGGCGTTGACGCTTCTTGGCGACAATGCTTACAAACCGCGTTTGGCAGCACATGGCATCAGTGAGGTTCGACAGCTTGCGGTGCGCGGTCGGCTTGCCTTCCCCCGTGAGTGTTGGCGTTCCTGCAAAACTGGTGTCCTCTGTGCAACATCGCCGGGGTTTTGGGCTCTCACGGTGCGTGGTCGGCTGTGCCTTCCCCCGTGATCTCCTGCCATTCCCGAAAGGGCGGTGTCAAACAGTGTACTGCTTGCACCATCGCGGTGTTTCTGAGCAGATGGGATCTGAGTTGGCTTGGGGAGCTGCTGCGTACTCGTTCTCTGCAGTAAGGTAACTCGGCGTTTTATGTGTAGTGACATGTTACGTGCAATGCAGCTTCTAACCATGTCCTGACGGTAAGCGGCGAGGCTATGTTGCCAACGGTTACTTTTCTTATTGAAATCGTGTCCTCAAGACTCTGCTCTACTTTGCTTCTTGTTGTGGTCATGGCTTTACGCTTCGGTCTTGCCGCATCTGCCTGATAATCCACGATGTTTCATTGGGCCGCAACTTGCAGTAGCCTTGCCTCGTGCTGTAGTGAATCTTCGCTTTGCATCTATGTGCTTCGCGTTTGAGCCTTGATTCTCAACACGGCAAGTCGGCCTCACGTTTCGGTATTGGCTGGCAGGATAGCGAGTCCGACTTGTCCTTTTGGCAGATTCTTATATTGGTGATCGTACACGTCTTCGCATCTGATTGCTTCTGGACCTCAGCTGCTCAATGTGTTTTACCGCCAAAAGGACAATCGGACTCAGAGGGAGAGTTACATGTAGAGTATATGTTGATATAAGAAATATGCTTTGCGGCTAGATAGAAATGTTGAACGGTTTTTGTGCTTGCTCAAACCTGTTTTACATTTCTTGATAACGCATGTCTTGCTAACCTTGGTGTGTATATCTAGCCGCAAAGCTGCTCGAACCTGGAAAGGTTTTTGGAACCCCCACCCGCCCGCCCTTTGAGGTGGCACTACTATGTTGCTATGACGTTGGTGCCAAGGTGCACTGTACATCCTGTACATTTGGAAGCCTCCGAAGGGGGCGTGTATGGACGCTGGCATTTATGCTTAACTCTGTACTTTAGCTTTGGTTAACTTGTTGTTACACTTGGGCAGCCGGTGATCGTACACGTCTTCGCATCTGATTGCTTCTGGACCTCAGCTGCTCAATGTGTTTTACCGCCAAAAGGACAATCGGACTCAGAGGGAGAGTTACATGTAGAGTATATGTTGATATAAGAAATATGCTTTGCGGCTAGATAGAAATGTTGAACTTTGCGGATCAGCATGGTGTTTCAAGTGGGGCGGTTGCCCGCCACAACGTCATGGTTTGGTGTGCACTTAACTTGTGCTGGAGTCTTCAAGGAAAGTTTCCGGCAATTGCGGTTGATCCTGGAAGCCATCAGCAGGCGGTGGCTGAGCCACCGAAGGACCAGCCAGCGCCTCCCCCGGAGGAGGAAGAGGCACCTTACTTTGTAGTTGTGAGTCGGAGCGGGCATAGGCGCCTTCACATGTCTCGCTCATGTGCAGTGAGACACGAGCGTTGCTTGGAGACCATCCCCTTGTACAGCATCACTCAGGATTCAGCTGACGCGATTTGTAAGTTGTGCAGGCCCCGGCTACAGGAGCAAGGGGCGATCAGCAGTGAGTCCGCGTCCTCAGACGGGCCCGAGTTGTGACACTTGAGGGGTTTGAAAATTTCGCGGCGTCAGTAGCTTGTCCTTGTGTGTCAGAGCCGGCAGTGCATCAGTTGTGCCGCGTCCCGTGAGTGACAGATTGGGACGTTACATCAGATTGAGAAGAGCCGCAGTCACGTCAGTGTCAGGTGGAGTGCTGTGACATGCCTTTCTTCATTTTCACGTTGTGCCAAGTGAGCTGAGGTGTTCAAACTCTTTAGACACAGTGGCTTCACTTTCACGCGGTGCATTTAGCGGTAGCTTGCACTGAGTTCCAGACATGGACTTGCCAGCTGGAGTGAGTGAGGAAGCAGCGTCGAAGTTCTTGTCTACCGAAGTCGATGCTGAGCTTGCACACATTCTTCAGGAAGCTGGAGTCCCACTTGGGTTGCAGTATAAGCTCACACAGTCCTTCAAGACTGTGAGGCGTTTTCAGTCTTATGAGGACAGCCGAGCAGGGATCCGAGATGCCTCGAAGAAGAATGATTTCGCTTTGGAGCCTTCTACCCTCGATAAGCGTGCTGGGATCTCGGCTGTGATTAGTGCCTGGGAAGCGTGTCAACAGTTTGCTGCAAAAGAGCAGGAGCTTCGCGCAGAAGCGCGTGTGTTAGGGGTTTCGAGGCCCGTCACACAGACAGATCGGAGTGCGATGAGAGCCGCCTTCGAGGCGACCCACGGCAAGCTGGAAGATGCACACGAACCTTCCGAGGATTATATCTCGTGCAAAATGGAGGAGCTTGAGGCTCATGAGCCGACGGCTTCACCGCTGTCCGAGGTTACGTCACGCAAGACTGTGAAGACTCAGGGGATCCAGACTGCTGTCGATTCCTCAGGCCATGTTCGTATCGTGCGGACAAAGGTCAAAGGATCACTACCTCAGGGCACTGAGGAGTTGCGCGCTGTGATGCGTGTTGAGTGCAATCTGTGGTGCTTCTTGGCCACCAAGTATCGCAACCGCGAGCTCTTGCGAGGCATGGACCCCGAATGCTGGAATCGGTATGTGGCATTTCTGCTATCGGAAAAGGTTTATTTGATGAAGGTGCCGGTGGCAGGTGGCAAGGGCCATCAGACGGAGCATGTTCCATTGAGGCCTCCATGGACAGTTTTGCTGAATTTCGAGTTTGAGTTGCGAAAGGAGGCTGTGAAACGGGCTGTTCAGGGCAACCGACCTTTGAAGGACACGCTCATGGAGGTCACGTCTGATGCTCAGCTCAAGGAGCAGTATTTCACCTCACCCATTGCCCTTCAACAGGTTGCACCTCCGCCACGCCCGGACCCATTCTGGCCACAGAGACGGTTCCGACAGTGGGACAATGATTGGTCCGAGAGCCCATCCAAGTGGCAGAGGACGGGCAAGGGGCGTGGCCATGGTAAGGGCAAGAACGGCAAGGGGGCAAGTCCAATCGCGATGATTCTAAGTGTTTATTATTTTGCCTCCTAGGAAACCCCATGCATTTTATCATGATTTACTTTATCGTATTTCATGCACTCATGTGTTTCACATCGTGATTGCGCTATACTCCGCAGGCGTCTTTGAGGATTCAAAACATTTTCATGGTAGCGGAGCTTGGGAAAGCCCAAGCTTCGAGACACGTCTCGGGGCTCTCTTGCACATTGCGTTGCGAAGTGCGTTCGGGGAGCTCAGGCGTTGGAAAGTTTGTCCTGGACCTTTGGGGATTTCTGTTTCCGTTTAGGATCTAGGTAGGATCGCAATCCCGGCGCAGACCGGACGAGCCATTGCGTGCTCAGACAGAGCAAGGCCACGGCGTCTCTTGCTGCAGTAGAGGAGGTGAAGGAAAGGTTGCACAGCCTGTACGTTGAGCAGCTTTGTGAACGGCCCCGTCCCGAGGGCAGATCCGGTTCTTCTTGGGATAAGATCTTGTCAACCTATAGGGTAGCCTTTGAGCGGAGACTTGAAGAGTTGCATACGGTTGAGTGCGCGTGGAATTTTGCGAGCAAGTGTCTGAAGAAACAGCATTTGAGAGAAGTTTTTGAGGCATTCGCACCTGAAGACGTTGCTGAGAATTGCATTTCAGAGGAGTTGCAACAAGCTTCGTTACACCCGGTCGAGGAAGGCCCCAACTTCGAGCGCGATCTTCTTGCGAGCAGTGTTGAGTTGCAGGAGCTTTTGAGAGCAAGTGCTGATTGTGAGCTGCCAAGTTCTTCAGCAGTGCCAAAGCGTGCATTCAAGCGCCGATTGCAGCAGCAGAGTTCTGTGATTGATTTGGATTAATTTCCTTGATTTCTTGATCAGACAGAGAAGAGATGGACCATCAAGGGCAGAATGTTCAGCAGGGGCCGCAGTTGCCCCAGCAGCCCCTAGGGAGTGCAGGAGTTGAGCCGCCAGTGGCCCAGAACCCGTTCTCTCCAGGTGGGCAAGCACAGCAGCCAGCGCCACAGCTGGTGCAGATTGACATGACACAGATGCAATTGCTTATGGCACAGATGGTTGAGACGGCGCAAGCAGCGTCGCAGGCTGCTCAAGCAGCCGTTGCCCGGCCCTCGAGCAATTTGACTTCAGGATTTTCAGATGCGAATAAGATCCTTAATCGACCGTCGGAGTTTGGGTCCGGAGTGCACGACAACGACCTTGCAAATTGGTCTGAATGGAGCCACTCATTCAGAACATGGTTGGTTTTCGCAGAAAGTCAGTTCGAACAGGACTTAAAGCTTGTGGAGGATAACTTGCAGGGCCCTGTTGATCTGACTGGGGCTTCGCCTGATCGCATTGCAAGGTCTCAGAGGCTTTACGCGATCCTTGCAAGCATTCTGCGTTCGAAGCCAAAAGCGATCTTGCGTCAGGTCGTCAACAGAAACGGCCTGGAAGTCTGGCGGGTGCTCACCAATACCTTCGCACCCAAATCGAAATTCAGAGGACTCGCTCTCTTGAACGCCCTTATGAGGCACACTAGTTCGGTCCCTTCCCTCTGCGATAAAACAACACGTTCAACTTCAGATGACAGACTCCAGTAGTTACCAAAGCATCAGGGACTACGTTCTGGGGTATGAAGTTACGACAACGTCTTGGACTCCAGCCAAAATGCACCAAGCTCTTGGTGTAGTGCCTTTACCCAGTGCTGTCGAGCAAGGCCCAGTCCCGATGGAGGTTGATGCACTTCAAAGAAAAGGGCCAAAAGGCAAGGGCAAGAAGGGCAAAGAGCAGAAAGGCAAAGGTGGACAGCAACCGCAGAATCCGTATGGTGGCAAGGGCAAGGCCAAAGAAGGCAAGCAAAAGGGCAAGAAGGGCAAGGAGCACAAAGGCAAAGGTGGACAGCAGCCGCAGAATCCTGGTGCCAAGGGCTCTAGGGCAAATGTAGTGTGCCACAATTGCCAGCGCAAGGGTCGTACGGGTGGACTTGTCCACTGGTGTTTTGCAAATGGAAAACGGTTTCCTTTCTTTTGGTAAAACTGGAAAGTTTTCCTTTATTCGCTTTTGCCAGTGCCTGCATCGTCTTACCTCGGTACATGTCGTGAAGCTCTGTGCATCCGCACTCCGCTTTGGATCAAGTTGCAGCGAAGTCGCTTCGCAATTTTGATTTGGGCCTCTCTAGAGTCCTGTAGTGCTGTCTAGCAGGCTCCGGGGGCTAATTCCAAGGCTTCTAGCTCCTCGTGGCCTGGGTAGAGCGATCGCCCCCTACAAGGGGGGGGTGCATGGCAGGCACCTCGTGCCTCTTGAGTGATCTGTCATTCTTGCATGGTGTCCCGTGCTGAGCTTGAAGAGTTCCGTCAGTACTTTGAGTGCTCGCTGCTCAGCTTGGTTCGTGGTGCCTCTGTGGAAGCCAAAAAGGACGTCGATAGTGCGAGATCAGACTTCATCGAAGCACTGCAATCTTTCAGGGACGACACCCTTGAAGCTTTGACTGCTCTGCACGAGCGTGCTGACCTTCTGCTTGAGAATCAGTTTAGGCTGCAGAACCAGTTTGTGATTTTGCAACAGCGCCTTACTCGGCTTGAAGGTGAACCGGACTGCACTGACGGGCCGTGCTGCCCGGACGGGTCGAGCTTTTTGGATTCCTTGGATTAAGGGGCTTTGCTGCGAGATGTCCTCCAGGCCCACTGACCCTGATGACAGGTCTCGCTTGGGCGGGCCACGTGGTGGCCCATATGCTGATCGTAGACTGCCTGGGGTTGGCTCTAGGCCTAGTCCCCCTCCCTCCTTCGGGTATCTTCGGTTTAGGTCCGCACCGCCCCTCCCCGAGTCGGGCATTCCCTGCCCACCTGTGAATCGGCACGTGCATTTGAGGCCCCCGGCACTGCCGGCCCGCGCAGCCCCTTTCACACCGCCGTTTCAGGCCTTGCCTGAGCTTCAGGCGGCACCTCCATTGCCCAATCCGCAAGGAATGGTGGTGTCGGTATCGAACAAGCGCCCGCGCGCCAGCAAGCAGGATGGTCGCGGGATGCAGGCCATTCGTGCACACTCAGCGGCCTGCTCTCAGATTGCTGTGAACCTCATGCTGCAGCTTCTTGCCTTCTTGGGATCTGAATCTAGCTTTTTCTCCGCCATCCAATCAGCAGTGCATTTCGATGCACACGTGCGCCGTGTACTTGCAGGTTTTGCCGCAACGACCGTCATCAGGTACATCACTACCTTTAACTCCTTTGCTAAAGCTTGTGAGGACTTGGATGTGTGTCTTCTTGAGATTACTGCAGTGCAAGCGGCCGACATCTTGGTCACTTTGCAGCTTCAAAGACAGGAGGATCCGACTGTCGGATCGTCGGCAATCACTTGCATCAAGGCCGTACGGTGGGTTTGCAAGAACACCCAGTGCATTGTGTTTGAGGTTTTCTATGGCGAGCTGATTTCATCCTTCTTGAAGACCAAATTGCCTAAGGACCGCAGGGAGAGCCTACCCCTGCCGCTGTATGCTCTTGTGCAGTGGGAACGGCGCATCCTTCAGCGCTCCACCCCAGTGCGGGACATAGTACTGCTCGGTGTTTTTTTGGTCACATGTTGGGCGAGTCTTCGCTTTGCTGACAGCCAGCGCATCGAATGGAGCTCATTTGCTTTCGACGTGGTTTCGCTTCGGGCCATTGCATACCAGACGAAAACCTCGCATCAGGGCCAACCCTTCGGCCTAATCACTCAAGGCTTCTTGCATCATGGCACACATTCCTGGGTGGCTAGGTGGCTCCGGGTTCTTGATTCCATCGCTTCGCAGGAGGTGCGCGACTTTGGGGTGGCTCCTAGCTTTCTGTTTCCGGCACTGGACGATGACGCCGAGTTGCTCCGGCCCCTTGAGCCGATGAGCTACCCTTCATGCTTGCGCTGGTTGCGCTATTACTTGCAGTTTCCTTGGATGGTGTCTCCACCCGAGGTGCCCGTATCTAACTATACGGTGCACTCCATGAAGTGTAGCCTCTTAAGTTATATGCTTGAGGTGCCGGACATCCGCGGCCCAGACAGGGACGCTCAAGGACATCATAGGGGGAGTAGCAGGGAACTCTACAGCAGAGATGACGTGCTAGGGGCGCTCCGCGCTCAGACACAATTGAGGTCTGCTGTCTTGGCGGATTTTCGCCCAAGGACGCCATTGCACCGTGGAGCACAGCTGCCTATGGCACCGATCCCTTTTACTTTGGAAGCCTTCAGCAAAGAGATCGATCCTGCACCGTGGGGTTTCTTTTCCTTCGATGTTGGTGTCCCCGGGTCGCTCCCCTGGGTTCCCGGTCAATCTTCGGCATGTGCTGCGGAAACACCTGCTGCAGAGGCCAGCACCAAGGCTGCCGAGCCCTCCTTGCCCGACTCCGCATCGGAGGCTGGATCTGAGTCAAGTCTTGAGCCCGAGGCAGGGCCCGCGTCGCTCGGCCCCCCAGATGAGGTGCACATGGTCGCCGCAACAGGCGTTGTGCACGCCGCATGCCCGTCAGGTGAGCGGACACTTTGTGGCATCGGTATGTCGGGCCCACGTTGGCAGTCGGTCCACTCTCTTAGTTCCAAACATGTTCTCTGCAGGCGAAATGCCTGTGTCAATGCATTCGCTGCTCTGGAAGCTTAGTAAAAGTGCAGTTTGCTGCCTTTGTCTTGTATCGGTATGCGCTCGCATTCTGCTTGCACATGTTTTCTTCATGCATTCCATTTTCTTTGCATTGAACCTGCCAGGACACGGGTCTGCCCTCGATCAGCCGCTTCAGGCCCGAACGGTAGTTTTTGCCGACCGCTGCTCTCGCACCATGGCAGATGAATTGTTCGATGCTAAATCCGCGGATGGATCATTCAATCTGGTGAATCCTTCACCGTGCCCGCTTAAAGCAGAGGGAGCCTCAAGCTTCAATCAGCTCCTTCAGGATCACGGCATCAGCCAGGAGCTCACGGATCGGCTGCTCGCCGACGGTTGGGATGCGAAATCTTTTCGCCATGTTGTCTGCCAGGAATCTGAGCTTGCGGGGGTCCTCCCTGAGATGTTCCCGGACACTGAAGTGTCCTTGATGCAGCGTGCCAAGCTGCGAGCCGTCTGGTCGTCGCTGCAGCGACGCGGTAGTAACGATCCTGCTCCTGCAGAACCGCTGGGATCCCCGGCCAAGCAGGGCTCGGGATGGTCGGAAGCCTTCGCGCCCAAGCTTGATGCAACGCGGGTGGCCACACTCAAAAAACGTTTCTTGGAAGCCTTCCCATCCGAAATCTTGACGGCTATGAATACCCCCTCGCTCCGCCTCTTGAGCACTGCTGTCGACGCCGAGGTTAAGAAGAACTGGTCTTGGATCCCGTGGAAGAGTCGCATGACGCAACAGATGTATGAGGATTCCCTCATGCAGAAGCCCGCAAAAAGGGCCAGGATTGAGACCCTTCAGCTTTCGGACCTGTTGCTTGATGAACCGCCACAGATTGATATCAATGATTCCACCATGGGGATTTCAATGATCCGTAGGCTGTTGGAGGTGCATGACAATGCCCTCGCTCTTGCAGGCACCGCGCATCTTGCGCGCCTCAAAGCTTACACCTCTAAGTTCTTGAGCCTGGTTTCGCAAAAATTCCCGCCAGAAACAAACCTTCGGCCCCCCTCTGTGCTGGAAGCTCAGCAGGCGGACAAACACTTGTGGTCGTGCATCTTTCAACTTGTGATCGAGAAAGAATGGCAGGTGAATGATGCGATCTACGAGTTCACGGAGATCCGTGGCGATATGTCGTCATGGCTGCAGCCCCGCGCCAAAGCTGCCTCGGCAGGCAATCGTAGGCCGTATGCACCGGGCGGCCGTGACAACCGCCCGCCCACCCCACCGCCAGGTCGTGGCAATGGCAAGGGAAAGGGGAAAGCCAAGAGCCCCACCAAGCAAGGCACCCAGCCTAGGGGCGTTCCGTGGGTTCGCGAGTACAAGGAGGGCGGCCAGGTGAAAAAATTGTGCATTGGGTGGCAGATCGGGAAATGCCAGCGTGGCAACTCCTGCGAGTTCACGCACGGCTGCGCCTTCCCTAAGCCCGATGGTTCACCCTGCCTTAGCAAGGACCACGGTGCGCCTCAGCACCCTGAGAAGTGACATCATGCGCCCGACTCGCCACCCACAGGTGTTGCCGGGTCCATCCACAGCTGGGGAGAGCTGCCTGCTCCCCCGCCACTGCCACCGCCGATTCCACCATCGCAACAGCAAGCCCCCCAGGGCTCGCAAGTTTTGGACTTCAGCTTTCCGCCACTGCCGCCACAACCCCTCTCTGCCGATTGTACAGTTTCTGTGTCACCGCCTCAGGAGGCCGTACCCTCCGTGCATCATACTGGTCCAGTGCCTTCGGGGGACGTTGCCCCCTCCACATGCACTTCAAGCACTCCCATTGCGCCGATTCCGCCCGCCAGCGGTACCGCCCCTTTGGGTCACGCACTTGAATTTTCCAATTTCTGTGGGCCGGCCTTGGCAGGCCTCTTCGATTGCATTTTGTGCTCATTGCGGGAAGCCCCTTGGCCCCAACAGGTTCGCCGTGCTCACATCATTTCCGGTGCCTCTTCTGCTTCAGGCTATTTTAATTTCGGTGTTCAGCTTTCCAGGCGTTCTTCACTCACTCAGGTCACCATCGCCCTGCCTGAGCTTTGCAGGGACCTGAATGCCCTATTCAGGTTCCTGTTTCCAAACGAGCACTGGAACGCTTTGTGTGTCTCGCGCAATGGCCTCAGTGCGCTGCATTCCGACTCAGCGAATATTCCTGGCTCACGCAATTTGTCACTCTCGCTGGGCGCCTTCTCGGGTGGCCATCTGTGGATTGAGGACCTCTCCTGCCTCTCGCAAGGCCAGCCGACATCAGTTGCATCTGGCTCGGGCTGGCTGCATGGCTGTGCTATCGACACACATCGCAAAGCCATTAGCTTCGATGGCCGCATTAGACACATGACACTTCCCTTCTCAGGAGAGCGTTGGGCCCTCACAGCCTTTTCCCTGCCTGACGTGTGTTGTGCCGAACTTGAGTTTCTGGGTTTCCCACTGCCATCTCCCCTCTTGGGTTCTAGTCCTGCCCCTAGTCCCTCTGCCTCCCCCACCTCGCCCGAGGGGCTCGAGGAAGCAGACATCACTTCATCGCACTTACTAGCAGGGACGCACATTCAGGAGGAGTTTCCATCCAGTGGCAACCCTGGGTCAGCCTCCGAGGCGTCCGCAGATGTTCCTCCTGCGCAGCATCTCCCTTCAGCACAGCCAATGCCCGGAGTCCCGGAAGCCGTCTCGACTACTAAGCAGCACGAACCTCAGTCGTGCAGGGAACATACAGTCCATTCCAATTCGGCATCGTCTAAGCTGCCACTGGGATGCAAACTGTGGGGAAAACGCTCCACGTCAGGTTTGTTTCTCTCCCACAAGCTTAGGGTTGCACGCCCCTTGTCACCACCGGAGGGCGCTTGGCGAGCTGATACTTGCATTTCTTCCCTCCAGGCGCGTCTTTTTCTCGAGATCACATGGAGCAATCACTCGCGCCATCAACTTAGCATGGCTGTCCGTGCTTCAGGTGGAAACTCCCTCACTCTAAGCCCCAGCCTTGACCCGACCCTGGATGTCCTTTGCCCAGACCTCCTCGAGCAGGTCCTCTTCCTTTGCGGCTCGGGAGCGGTCGCGTATCTTGCAGCATCGCCACTAGCCGAGTCAGCAGACTCGCCTGACGACGTGGGTTCCTCCTCGTGGCTGCTATCGGCAATGCACGAGCAAACGACGGCGGCAAAGGTTTCCCGTTGCACCTGGCTCCTCAGCATTGTACACACTGCAGGGGGTCAAGGGCATTTGGAATTGCCCCCCACTTCTTCTTACTGGTCGTCTGAGCGGCCCCAGGCCTGGCTGCATCAGGGAAACTGTGCTCTGGTCTTGATACCCCCATTGCTGTACTCAGACTCAGCTATTCCGTGCCAGCCCCAGCTCTTGGCTGCTTCTTACCGCCCGCTTTCCGCCCTGGCGGTCAGCTCGCCCGCCTTCGCTCCCCCGCAATGCGCAAGTGCATTTGCATCTTCGTTTGCCACGATCGCTGCCCCTCTGCTCCCGGCAGAGGGCCGCGAGCTATCCCTGCAGTCAGTCATCAAGTCTATCCCACGCAAAGGCCTTTTCGCAGGCCCACATGCACTTCATGATGGTGCTGGAAAACGCTCCATTGCCGATTGGAGCAGCCCTGCAAGCCATGATGCATTTCGGGGATTACGCAAAGCCCTGTTGCAATTCTGCATCTCAGCTCGAGCCGACAAACGCTTGCTTGCTCGCGGTTCCTGCCCGTCGAATGAACCGCTTTTCAGCTCTTCCGAAGTGTCCGCAGCCAGGGATCTGGTGTTTCCTTCGCTGGGTATGCAGACCCCGGATAACGCTTGGTATGTGCATCCATACCAACCCATGTGCTTGCACGCGTTTGAAGCCCTGGCACAACATTGTGGCGATCAGGACATTCATCTGTTTCCGCATTTGCGTATGGGTGTGCCAACCGGGTACTTGAATGACATCCCCCCTTCCAACTGTTTCTGGCCTCCCAAAGGCCAATCAGGGGAGCTGATTCCATTGGCGCTCAATCTTGAAAACTGGAAGTCGGCCGATGTGGCTCCTGAGGTCACTTCGCGCCTGCTCCAAGAGGAGTTGGACGCGGGATACTGCTTTAAGTTTGAAGGCACACTTGAGGAGGCGAAAAGTAGATGGCCCGTTGGCCTAGCACTGGGAAAATTGGGGGGTGTTAGGGCTCCGGGGAGGGCCGAACGACTCGTGTTGGACAACAGCGTAGCTGGGACCAATTCTCAGTGCACAGTGCCGGAACGTCAATGTTTCCCGAGCATACACGATGTTTCGCATTCTTTCCCGATTCGCGAGACTTCCGATCGCCAGATGGCCATTTGCATTGATGTCAAGCAGGCGCACAAGCGCTGCCGCATCCGCGACTCCGAGCAGGGCCTGCTCGGCTTCACTTGGCACAACGCGCTATACTTTTTTCGCTGCTGCCCATTCGGAGCAGTTTTCTCACAGCATTGGTGGGGTCGCGTGGGAGGGTGCACTTTGCGCCTGTTACATACCCTGCTGTTCCTGGCCCATGTGGGCCTCCTTTTCGTGGACGACTTCATTTTCAGCCAAGCGGCCAGCCTCATGCCGCTTTCGGGAGCTGTGATATGCCTCTTTCTTCAGATCCTGGGTGTTCCAGTCAGTTGGAAAAAATTACAAATTTCTTGCCGGGTCGATTGGATTGGATGGCGGTTGTGCTTCTCTTCGGGTACGGTTAGTCTCAGGGAAGAAAAACGCTTGCGGCTCCTTGAACAGGTGCGTTCCCTTCTGAGGGGCGGGGGCCGTATCTCTACCAAGGAACTGGAATCCTTTCTGGGCCTTGCCATGTGGGCCTGTGCACTCTTCCCCACTATGCGTGCCATGATGCACCCTTTCTACAAAGACCTTTGGTCTCCGGCTGCCACTAATTTCAGCATTGCTCCGGAATCGTGGCATAGCATCTGTAGTTTCCTTGATTCTTCACTCAGGTTTAAGGCCTCGCCTCCTCACACTGCCATCCCCGCGGGCGCTAAGCTCCTCTCGGCTCGTCATGTGCCTTTCACAACCCTTGCAGACTTGTCCAAAGTCGCCGTGACGCACAAAAGATTGTGGCTCCGCGTTGAATGCCTTAGCAGCTCGAGGCGGAAACTCTCCTGTGCCTCCATCCGCTCGTTGCAGGCCTTCGAGCGTTGGTTGCAACACGTGGCACCACTCGCCAGCATGCGCCCATCTCAGGTTGCAGACGTTGAGGCCTTCGCCGATGCATCGGCGTCCGGCCCATCTTGCAGTCTGGGGGGTTTTGTTTCTTGTCCGGTTCTAGGCCAGGTTTGGTTCACTGAAACCTTTTCAGTCCAGGAATTTGAAGCAGCAGGCATTCCTTTCGGCAATGACCTGGCTAAGGAGATAGCCAGTTGTGAAGCCCTGGCTCAGGCGGGGCTGATTCTTGCTCTCTCTAGCTGGCTCCTTGCAGCAGGTTTCCTTTACGCCTCCCGTCCCTCTGCGATAACTCAGGGGCGGAGGCAGGTCTGAATAAGATGTTTTCCACCAAATTTCCCCTAGGCCTCGTTCTTGAACACATCGCCCTCCTGGCGGCCATGCATCGCATCTCTATCGATGTGTCTCATGTCCCAGGTGCCAAGAACTGCAAAGCCGACGCACTTAGCCGGCCGGCTGAGTTCCCCACACCTCCAGACTGCCTTCCATGCCAGCGCATTCGCTTTGGGCTCTCTGCTCTCTGGGAGCCTTGTCCTGAGGTGCAGATTTTCCCTTCCAGCTTCACCCTTCCTTGGCTTCGCTGAAATCTACCACCCCTTTCAGCCCACACTTCCTTGGCTTTCTTGAGCGTGCTGTGGGGTGGCAAACTACCTTGGTGCAACAGTCGCCACCCCACAGAAGGCATCCTCGGGTCAACCCGTTTGTATGCTTGCACAGCCGATCTTTGCGATCCCATCGAAAATGAGTGGACCGAGTTCGGATTGCATTCATTTTCCGTTCTCGGGTTTAGGGTTTAGGATTTTGTCTAGGGTAACGGTTTTCCTTAGCAGAACGTACTGGTGGACTTGTCCACTGGTGTTTTGCAAATGGAAAAACGGTTTCCTTTCTTTTGGTAAAACTGGAAAGTTTTCCTTTATTCGCTTTTGCCAGTGCCTGCATCTTCTTGCCTCGGTACATGTCGTGAAGCTCTGTGCATCCGCACTCCGCTTTGGATCAAGTTGCAGCGAAGTCGCTTCGGAATTTTAAATTTTCATTCGACCCGCCCTGGTTTCGCTTGCGTGCACGCCGGCCTCGCTAGGCCCGGCCTTTACCGAACGTGCTATCCTTCCTTGCACCTTCACTCTCACTTTGTGCTTTGCCCCTGGCATCCTGCCACGGGCAATGTGCTTGCGCAGGCTGCTGCCTTCACATTACCATTGCTTCTTCTAATGCTGCACACGGCAGCGCGCAGCTGCCGCACCATGTCGTTCGGTGCTCCCTGTTGGGCCCGCCATTGGCCCCAATGCGTTTCACCGCCGTAGTCTGCAGGTCACCTCTTGCTTGTAGCCTCTGCTCTAGCGTGGACTGCTCAGTTCCGGAGGACCCTTCTGGTCGCTCCCTTAGTCTGAAGCTGTCACTCAAGTGTTGTAGCTTCAATCGTAGTTCTTTTGTCCGTGGGGTGGTGCAACAGTCGCCACCCCACAGAAGGCATCCTCGGGTCAACCCGTTTGTATGCTTGCACAGCCGATCTTTGCGATCCCATCGAAAAGGAGTGAACCGAGTTTCGGATTGCATTCATTTTCCGTTCTCGGGTTTAGGGTTTAGGATTTTGTCTAGGGTAACGGTTTTCCTTAGCAGAACATTATGCTAGTGAGTGCTGGCGTCCACGTGTGCAGCAAGTCCAGGCACAGGGTTCGGACACAGCGTCCACTGTTGCGCCTAGCACTGTTGGTCCTTCAGCATCGCAAGTCGCTGGCAGCGCTGCTACTACCACGAAGCGCGTTGCTAGAGTTGAGATAGACATGACTTCCAGTGCGTTTCAGGACGATGCCGAGATCAGCGGTCACTGGTGTGTTTTGACAAAAGTGTGTCCTGAGGACCCAGCTGCAGCTACTGCCCAGCCGAGTTTTGCTTCACTGTGCAAGTCTTTGGCGTCTGCATGCGTTGACCCTGTGAAGCCACATGTACTTGTGCCAGTGCCCGAGGCTGAAATGTTTGACATGTCATATTCGGACGGTGATTGTGTCTGGACAGTGCCAGACGAGATGCATGGAGCCACATGTGTTGGTTGGTTGAGCAGTGCACGTGATTCTGAGTATGTGAAGTGCAAGGCGCCAGCCCGCAACCGTGCAAGGCCAGGCAGGCGATCACGGCCGCCACTGCAGTGCGAGGCAATGTTGCATCCATGTGAAGCCGCTGCCGAGCACCTTGTGACCCCACCTGTGCATCCCCTTCGGAACCTCAGTGTGTGTGCAGTGTCATGGGCAGACATGAGCAACGAGATTGAGGTTGTGGTCGACTCTGGGTCGGATGCCTCATGCTTGCCGCTGTCCTGGGCACACGTCGGAAGGGCTGATGGAGCAAGCCTTGATAGTTTCAGGGATGCCCAGGGTCGCATGATTAGGGGTTCGCAAATGCGTACGGCAGTGCTTCAGATTGACGGTGTTCAATTTAAGGAGCGGTGGCTGTTGAGCAGTGTGACACAGCCGCTTTTCAGTGTCGGCAAGTTGCCCAGGCGGGGATGGGACATCATCCACAGTGACGGTGTTCCTTACTTGACAAATCCTGGGGGCACAGTGCGCGTGCCTATGCACTACCGGCACAATTCCTTGCATGCGCGAGGCTCCATCATGAGCGTGGTAGTGTGTGCCAACGACTGTTTGAGCGATGACAGAGAGGACGATGCGGCCCGACACCACGAGCCTCAGGAAGCCGAGCTTGATGATGAGCAAGTGCGCGGCAACGACCAGCAGGTCGAGGTGCCCCGGAGTGCTGAAGCAGACAGCCCTGTTGCGGCTGCGGTGCGTGCGCTTAAGCTTGGCAGTGCATGGCTGAACCTGGGTAGCCAATACACCGAGATGCAGCCTGGAATCTTTGCTAGGCAAGATCAGTCGGATCGGTTTCTTGATGTGTCAGTGCCTTTGAGCCACCATGGAGTGGGCTTCCGCACTACCCTTCAGTATGACGGTGCCGAATGGAAACTGATTGAAATCAACTGCTTGATCAGCCTCTTCGATGATCTTGAGAAGGAGTTCGAGCCGAAAGGATCCCGCCACATCATCACCGTTGGCTCTGTTGACCCCTTGCAAGTAGAAAAGCTGTTTGATCATCAGCCTGTAGCGTGGAACGATGAGAGTTATGACGGTGAGTATGCTGATGCACCGCCTGATGAAAACATGCTTGAAGAGGATGAAAAGGCTGAAGATGTTGATGAAGGTGCCGGTGTAGGACCCGTGTCCCTCGCCGAAGTTCCTTCGCAGGGTCATGTTGTGGTCAATGGGGTTGAACTGCATCCCGGGTGTACCCTTAAGACCCTAAGGTCGGCCTGTGAGGTTCTTGGAATAGGCAAGTCCGGAGGAAAGCAGACGGCCATTGCCGCTTGAACAAAAGTTTGTCGAAGAGCCAACTGCAGAGCAGAAGCGACGGCACGAGCTCAGTCATGTGCCGTATGCCGATTGGTGCCCACACTGTGTAAAGTTCCGCGCCAAAGCTGACAAACATGTGTCGAGCAAACCTGAGCTGCGGGACGATTCGGTGTGCAGCTTCGATTTTGCTTATACAGGACGGAGCAGCCCAGCTGAGTTTGAAGGTGCGTCAAAGGACAAGCTTGTTTGCCTTGTGATCAAGGACTCCCACACTGGAGCGATGCATGCTGTGCCAACGCCAGCCAAGGGCGGACCGGTTGCTTTCAAGTATCTTGTTGCCGAAGTTTGTCGGTTCTTGAATTACTGTGGGCATGAGTCCGTCACGATCAGGTCTGACGGTGAGCCAGCTTGCTTAGCACTTCAGCAGGGCATCAAAGCTTTTAGGACCAAGATGGGGTTACGCACCCACTTGGAACAGACCGAGCCAGGTGACCACCAGTCAAATCCTTCGGAACAGGCCATTGATAGCATCCGGCAGCTTGCAGGATGCATTCTTGACCAGTTTGAGGAGCGTGCCCAGACAACTGTAGGTGCAATGCACCCACTGCACGGCTATGCTTGGAGACACGCGGCATGGCTTCACATGCGAATGTCGCGGCACAACGACCTCAGTGCGTTTCAGGTGATCAATGGCCGGCCGTATGCAGGGAAACTCGTTTGTTTTGGAGAAAATGTTTACGCCAGAGTCAAGAGCAGTGTAAAAGGAAAAGCACGCTGGTGCAAAATGCTTTGGCTTGGAAAACTTGCATTTTGGGTTCCCCCAACTCGTTTGTCCCTCTGCTTGAACCTGGGCGGGTGGCTGGGGGAAAAACGCCGTGCAATTGGTTTTCTCTTGAAAGTTCACATGCTTGGTTCTCTTGAACTGCACTTGCATTGTCTCGGTTGATGCGACATTCCTTTTGGAGATTGCTGAAACTCCTTGTGCCGTCGCGGCCATTCTGGCGCGAGAAAATTTTTGGTGGGACGGGGAGTGTAGACCTACGGCTCGGGTAGTCCCATGGCATTTTGCCGTAGCTGGGCCAATGGAAGCAGGAGGCCTTGCTGAGAGACTGCGAGCTGTGGATGCTGATTTTGCGAGTGAAGTTTGTCAGCTTTACAATTCCCCTCAGCAGTGGGACGCTGCATTCGATGATGAGGCCGGAGCTCACAGTTTTGTTGAGGAGTTCCTTGGTAGTAAGCGGACACCTGCTGAGATTCAAAGGATTGCTAACGACGTCTGGAGGTTGAAGCAGAGGAGAGACAAACGCACCCCTTCTTCAGTTGAAGTACTGCAGAGGCGAATTCTGGAGTTACCTGCAAAGATCCCTCGTGTTGGGAGGCCTATTTCAGAGCATTTTGAAGACATTGTCTGTCACACACCAGCTGTGGTACTTTCGCAGCTCCAGCGGGCCGTGCGGAATAGCAAGGCCGCTGGCAGTCGGGAAGACATTGAGGCGAGGATTCGGGAGCGATGGTCCTTTGTTCTGGTTTCTTTTATTCAGGAGGCAAAGCTCCCTTGCGCGGAGCGATTAGCAAGTCTTGGAGACAGTAAGCAAGCTTGGCTGCGGATCTTCGGGAGTCGTAGGGGGAAAACTCTGCGGAACAGGGCAAGGTCTTGGAAACCTTTCCGGGATTGGCTTCACACTTCTTACGGGCTACTTTGGCCTGTTGACTCTGGGCAATTCTTGAAGTATTTGGAGGAGCGCCATGCTGCATCCCCCTTGGGGAAGACTGTGCCGAAGTCTTTGCTGTCAAGTCTTTCCTTGCTCGAGTGCCTGGGTATGGTGCCAAATGAGAAGAGACTGAGCGAGGATCAGATTGTTCTTGAGAGTGTCAAGTCTTGGACTTGCGAGTTGGAGAGTGGGGCTGCACCGGTCAAAGTGGCACCGCTTTACAGCATCTCAGTGATCATTGCTTGTGAGATGGTAGTCTGCAGGCCTACATACCCAATGGGGATGAGGTACACTGCGTTTGTGCTCCTTGTCATGATTTGGGCAAGCTTGAGGGCAGATGATACGCAGAACATCGACCCTGCGTCGGTCAAGCTGAGCCAGATCGGCCTTCGGCTATTGCTGCGGCGCACTAAGACAAGTGGGCCAGGGCGAAAGGTTGGCGAGCTACATGGATTTGTCTCCCGGGTGGTAGGATTGAGTGGATTTGACTGGCTCAACGAAGGCTTCAAACTACACACACATGCAGAGCTTTCTTGGACACGTGATTTCCTCTGCCCGGCGTTTTCGAGTGACTGGGAGAACGTGATTTTCGTCCCGGAGCGGAGCGTAGGGATAAATCTTTATTTCCTTTGAACAATCAACGGTTTTTCTCTGAAAACCGAGTGCACCAGTTTTCCAACTTTGTTTCCTTTGAGTCTTGCGAATACCTTGTCGTATCCGCATTTCTTCTCAAGGGAAGGGTGGGAGGGAAGTCCATTTCCTTCGGCATGAAGTGAATCAACTTTGTGCTGGGGGGTGGCGTAGTGCGTGCCGGTGGGTAGTTCTTAGGGGAGGGAAAACCCGTCCTGTGACGGGTGCCATGGATCAGCCTGGCTCTCTTGAGGACTTAGAAACTGCCGGTAGCGCCTTCAGGCTTCTGTCAGAGGCCCCAGACGCGAGTGTAGAGCAGACTCTGCAAGACGACCTTGTCTCCTGGAACCCGAATCCTGATTTCTCGAGCGACCGGGAGTGCATCAGCTCACATCGGGAGCCATCCGAGCTTGCAGTTGAGTCAGAGCCTGCTGATGCCATCTTTGAAAGGGGTATTGGCTTGAGTTCTGAATCTGTGCCCGGGCTTCCTGCAGTACTCAGTGGCATCGAGCATAACCCGCAAGGTTATAGGAACCTTTTGCGCTCGTCGCACCTTGGCCTTCGTGACGAGCTTCCGAAGTTTCCTTGGGATGAAGGTTTTTGGAGCGACTTCTTCAAGCCTGTTGTGACGACTGACGACTTCTTGTCTTTTCCCAGGTTTGATAGGTTAAGCCCTCCGGTGGAGTTCCTGCAAGAGGCTTTAGAGGCAGATGAGCTGCCTGGGCCCAAACGTGCTCGCAAAGCTGTTACAGTCACCTTCGAGCGAGTTGTGTTAAATCGTGCTGTGATCTCCTGGAGAGATCAGCGAGAAGCCGACTTGAGCAGAGCGCTTATCAAGTGGTGTAGAGTTTTTGCAAGCTGGGACAGTGAATCTTCCCCTGTCACCCGTCAGCTTCAGGAAGCCGCCTCGCCTGAGGCCTGTCATGACCTCCGGGGAGATTATTTGGCCCGCAAAGCTCCCAGTACATGTCTCAAGCGTGCAAATAGCATGTTGATGTTGGGCAAGTCTGTAGCTTCCGAAGGCTTAACAATGCCCACGCAGGAGCCGTCTCTTTACTCGATTTTGAGAGATTGTAAAGCCGGTGGTGCATCCTTGTCAGCTTTGCGAGGCATCATGGAAGCGATCACTTTCGTGCACTTTACATTTGACATTTTGATTTTGCATGCCAGTGTCAAGAGCAAGAGATGTTGGGGCCTGTCCTCAGCCAAGCAAGCCACTCTTGCCTCTAAGGCGGACCCTTTCACAGTTGAAGAAATACTTGAGATGCATCGAATACTTTACGAAGGGGACGATCTCTGGGATCGTCTCATGTGTGGAGTGTCCCTCTTCTGCATCTACGCCAGGTGTCGATGGAGCGACTTCCAACATGTTGACTCGCTCTCTCTGGAGTGCAACGACCAGGGCTTTGCAGAGTTCGGCTCAGCTTTCATCGATGTGCATAAGACAATGAATTTCTCCTCAAAGCTTCCGAAGTGTCTTGAGCTAGTTGCGGTAGGCCGTGGCCTCGATGGCAAAGATTGGCTCTGTGTGTTCATGGAGGTCCGAAAGGCTTTAGGCGTCGAGTACCACAAAGGGTACCCAAGCATGCCCGCCCCAGACAAATCTGGCGCCCCGACGGTCAGGGCTTTGGGATCTGACGAAGCAGGTGCGTGGCTCCGAGAGCTACTGCCAGGGCGTGAAGGCCGGCGCACCACCTCCCACAGCTTGAAAGCCACTCTGTTGTCTTTTGCAGCTAAGAGAGGGTTAGCTCACACTGACCGGCTGGCCTTGGGCGGGCACTTCCATGGGGCTCACATGGCTGATGTATATGCGCGGGATGCCTTAGCACGCCCATTGCGACTTCTGGCGGGCATGCTGTCTGAGATCAGGCTAGGAAAGTTTGCACCAGATGCTGGCAGGGCTGCTCGTTTTCCTGGGCGCACCAATGAGGAATTGATAGGAGCCGAGCTGCCCACAGGTGTCGCCCATGCCGCTCCCACGGAACCTCAGCCGCTAGGTGAAGTCCATCTTGGCAGCAGCAATCGCGACAGCAGCGCTAAGGGTCTTGAAAGCTTCTCTCAGTGGGATCTTGTCTCCTTGGGGGCACCGTCACATGCATCGAAGGCCGTGAAGTCGGATGCGTGCACTTCCCAGGCGGGAGGCGAAGTCATGAGTGTGAAATCGGACAGAACCGAACCTCCGAGTCCCGATTTTTCTGAGGGTGTTGGTGACCTGAGCCTCATGCCTGATCGAGCGCCGCAGGGATCTTTTGAGATAGTTCCGGAAGACATCTCCGAAGTCAATCCCGATGACGGTGTCTCCTCTGACGGAGACACGTCGTCGGAAGGCTCCTCATCCGAGTCGTCTGATTCTTCTGAGGGAGAAAATCCGGAGCCCAGGCTGATGCCCCCGCCTTCGCCTCCTGAAGGTACCTTCTTCATGCAGCATCGCAAGCTCAAAACTCTGCATTTGTTGTTGACCGGGCACCGCAGCTTCACGCTGTGCGGAAGACCGTTGCAAACTATCGACAGCCCCTTCATTGAGCCTGGCCGGCTGAGGTACGATACCCCAGTGTGCAAGCAGTGCAAGAGATCTCTAGCTAACCCTGGGCGCGACTGAGTTTTGCTGAGGGAGTGGAAAGAGAGAGTGTGTGCGTGTCATGGTAGAGGGTTTCATGTCGGGTCGTGAGCCAAAATCATCAGGACAGGCAGCTGCCCCTCGATGTGCCGCAACTCGTCCCTTCTGCTCGCTTCTTCCCTCTCTCTCTCCTCCCTCTCTCTCTGGTCTTGATCCTTCTCTCTCAACATGTGAGTTTGCTTGATGGATCACACGCTGAGAGTCGGGTGCAGCAGCTTTGTCTCAATTCATTAGGACGGACAAGCCCATAGTGCTGAGAGTTGCCATGACCCTCGTTGACAGCGAGGCTGCTTTTGCAGCTAGGTGTAAGGAGATATGTGGCGACGATTCTCTTCACACATTGCTGCAAGCCTCGGGGGGGCAAACTCACTCAGCCTTGGCCTTCAGCTGTGGAACTCCGAAGGCGCAACCCACGGAAGCAGAATTTAAGGCTTTTGCTGAGTCAGTTGTCGGGAGCCCAGCGTCCATAGGCCGCGTGAGCCAGCTCAAAAGACTTCATTTCGAATCTTCGACTTTGGTCATTGCCCAGTTGCGCGCACTCGTAGAAGGGGATTCAACAGATGCTGGAAAAAGACTTCCGGCAGCAGAGAAATCCGCCCGCCTTGCGGATGCCAAGAGGCGTTTGAAAGGCCTTGTCATCGAGGATGAAATGGAGCCGAGTCATGCCCTCATTGATGCAGTTTCCCATATGGGCGAGTCGAATGCGGTGGTTTGGATCCCACCGTCGAAGTGCACTAAGAGGGATGCCGAGCTCAAGCTTGGGCTTCGCGACAAGCAAAAGTACTTGACTGTTCAGGAGCAA